TAGGTAAATATGTCTAAAATGAAGAAGAATGAGGATTAGTTTGAACGTGGCACAAAGAGGTCTAAATCTGACAACCTAAATGATCCATCCAGCCTTGCATCAGTGGTCCAGCCTGGATGTAGTGGTGTATAATGATGGGGGGATATTTTTCTACCCATTTTGAGCCCAAACTGATCATCATTTAAACACAGCAACCTGCCTATTGTTGCTAGAGATCAGTCCAAGCCTATGGGATATGGAGGAACAAGAAGGATGTGCTCTATGTGAATTTACACCAACTGCATGACGCTATTAAGTCAATATGGACCAAAATCACAAGGCATGTTTCTGTCGCATACTTAAATATTTAGTCTAAACCAGTACTAGCAAAGCATAGTCAATAAAGCGGATTGTGACTTAAGGTTTACATGCATGGATACAGAACATGTCAATAGTTCAACTGTAAGGCATAAATACTGAAGAAACAATCCTTCCTAAATGTATAAGCCTCATTCATTAGGTAAACCTTTTAGCTGCTTTTTCCTCCAAAAGTTGTTTCTTGCTACATCTTTATTCTACAAGAGTGTATATTTAATACAGGCCAATATAAAACCATTTAAATATGAACATGGCAGCTTTGCTATAAATCACTTAAACTCCCTAATTCTAACAGGTAAACTTATATACTCAAATTAAAGTTTACCTTCTCTAAACATATAATATTACCTTCTCTAAAACATATAATATGTTTGACTTCAAACATATTATATGGTAAAGAAGCATATAGTTATTAAGCCATGACTGCTTTCTTTGATTAAAGACGTTGAAGCAGGAAATATTAAGTATTTAAGCTGATCTTTAAAATGAGGAATTTAAAAAGTATTACCGTATTTTCCTGACCATAAGGCGCACCGTACTAAAAGGCGCAGTCTCAGTTATGTGTCCCATTTCTGTATTTAACACACACATAAGGCGCACCGGACTATAGGGCGCGTTTTTTATATACAGGTACATGTCCTCTACTACCTTTAAATAGCTCTACTGCGTATTTAAAAATACAGTGGGCCCAAAACTGAGTATGACTGTGCTTTATTCATGTATTTATTACAAAGTATTAATCAAACCTGCGAGCTGGCCATGAGACAGACACATAGCAGATAACACAGCGCTGTGGTCACTCCTAAATTAACTTAAAATCCTGAAACCTGCCGACGGAATATGTTCGCTTTTATTGCCGGTATCCTGGTGCCTGCAGTTTAAATTATTTAGATGAAAAACACCTGCCAGCCGCCGCGGTGAGGCTGCTGTTGAAGGGATTTCTACTGTCGGTGCACCGCTGGTATGTGGGGTCTGAGCGCCTCCGACAGAAATAGATAATCTGGATGAACTGACTGCAATTAAGTTTTCAGGTGGCCTTTCTCACTTAAAAACATATTAAAACTACTTTATTCCCACTGATCACAGCAAATATAGCTGCAAGATTTAGATTATTTAGATGAAAAAACACCTGCCAGCCACCGCGGTATACGCAGAGGAGACCCGGCCCAGAGGCTGCTGTTGAATTAAGTTTTCAGGTAGAAAAATAGAGCGGGAGCAAAACTGAGTATGTTTGTGCTTTATTCATGTATTTATTACAAATTATTTATCAAACCCATCAAAGTGTTTCTGAATTAAACAGCTGTGCTAAATCAGACATGCCAATTTCCCCTTCTTCGCTGTCAGAGTCACTTTCCGTGCAGCGCGGCTCCTCAGAAATAATGCCTGCTTTTGCGAAAGCTTGAACAACAGAGCCAGCAGACACGTTAGTCCAAGCATCGACAATCCTTCCGCAAACGGTGGCGTAACTTGCCCGGCGCTGCCTTCCACTTATCCTGAAACTGTGGTCTCCGTCTGTCATCCATCGCTCCCACGCCGCTCGCAGCCTTACTTTGAACAGCCGCTTCACACCGATGTCGAGCGGTTGAAGTTCCTTTGTCAGACCCCCGGGATAACGGCGAGCACAGCGTTCATTTGATTCACCTTTTTTTTTTTTCACATCGGCTGTGAGATGGGCACGCAACGATGGTGATGCGTGGAAAAAAACACCTGGTCTCCTTACATTCAGTCACTCTTTCATCATCTCCTCAATGAGGTGGTCTCAAAGGTCGCAGTTACAACACACATAAGGCGCACCGCACCAAAGGGCGCACCACACATTTTGAGGGGAAAAAAAGACGTTTAAGTGCGCCTTATAGTCGTGAAAATACGGTATTACAAAAGTCAGAGGTGTCATAAGTCGGGAAATGGAGCCCTTCATTACAACAATAATTTAGTTCAGATTTTTGTGTGAGACCTTATTAGGGCTGACAATAGTGTTTGATTTCAGCTCTATAGATAAGCACAACTGAATGGAAATGGACACACTAAAGTATGAAATGTCTTTAAACCACGAAGATAATCCAGGTTTTATAGATTTCTTGACACAAACCTATTGATGCATCCCAGCTTTAATTCTACATTTGCTCTCTTACATGCCTTTTTTACGAATGTTACAAATCTGGAATGTCTGAATAAGTTTTATAATATTCTAGAAGACTTATTGAAAATCAAAACCTCAAGCTTTTGATTCCTCAAAGATTATTTCCAGGATAGAAATGATAAAAAGTCAGAAACAAACACTCCCCCAATCATAAACAATCACTTCTTTAATATCAGGCAGGACCTTTAAATAAAATTGACTTCATTGTCCCACAGCAGCTGAAGCTTAGTTACTGGAAATAACTTTTTTATAGCTTGTATAAATAATGGACTGAAATAGTATATTAGCAGAAATGTACTCTATGCCCTGTAGTATAACTAAAGTGCAATATCTGATTATTTTTCTTAGTCATGCCTCCACTGGATATGAACATCTCACACTCCTGATAAGATGTCCTGCTTGGTGACCTGCACCAAGAAATAAGACCAAAAAAGCTTTATTGGTTGTGAAAGTCAGAGACACCCTTAAACTAAATCTTTAAGAAAGAACTTTTGTACTTTATATTTACTCGCTCTTTGTAAAACGCTCAAAATCTACGAGGACTGGATCATTCTATTATTTTAAATCAGATTTTGGTCTAAGCTCCGCTGCGCTAATCCACATAAACATATATTACTATTTTATAAATCTGAATTAGGAATGGAAATTTGGCTTTTATTTTGGAAAAGTGTCTTTTGTGTTTCATGTTTTAGCTTAAGTTGGAATATATGACTGCTTTGTATGTAATGAAATGCCTTATACTTGCCTAATTTTATCTATTTATTCAGTTACAAAAGAGAGATTCTTAGTTTTTAGAAATATTTCATCAAAACTATATTTTCATTCAACACAAAAGAAATAATCACTGCAAACAAATTCACGGATCAGAACCAGAAATAAGTAAACTCCTTTTGTCTGACCCTCCTCTTCGTTTTCACAAAATAGTCTGATCCCATATCCTCACGTTTAATTGGTCACAAAGCTGTAATGCAGTCAGTTCTACGGCGAGCCGAGCTGCTGAGTGAAGACTTAGCTTTAAAAGGAAACAGGTGGGGAGCCGGATCCTCTGATTCACTACGAAGCACCGGCTCTATGAGTATGACCAACCATTAACCTGGATGTATAGTTTGGATGATAAAGGGAGTCTTTTCATCTTTCTAGCTGAAGCCTGAAGGTTAAAATTGAATAGAATTTGCAAATGTTCAACATTTTCACCTGCTTAACAAGAGTTATTTCAGGCTAAAGAAAAAATAAGCATCAAAGCATAATGCCGCCATCACCATGCATCACTCTGTCAGGTTTTATTATTAATGTGGTGCCAAAATGTTTCTCTTTTCTTAATATTTCTGACATGCTTCGTCTACTTGGGATGTTTTCTTTGTAGAAAAAGCTATTCAGTCTTGTAATTCTACTCTTTAATCAAGGCAACTAAGAAACTAGTGTGATCATTATTAAATAGTAGACACCCAGCACAGGAAATGCTGCTGCTCATTGTGGCTATTCTCACCTGATTTCTTTTCCCTTTTTTATCCACTTCAGAGGAAGTGAGTTTTGGTAATGTCCCTGTTACATCATATTTTCTCCACTTATTGTGTTGAAATTTGTTTTGTTCTGCTGCCCTGAATGATACCTTTGGAGATTCTTTGATTAATTTGTGCAGATATTCTCAAAAGGGACTAAGAACAGATCAGGAAAAAAGAAAAAACTGAGGAAGAAATTAGTCTTATTTGAGGCTAATTAGAGGCATTTTTAATAATGAGTTTATTTTTGCATTAAAATGAAATGAACAGGTGATATTAAAGGGACAAATGTTCTATAAACATTCATCATTGTCTTATTGTTTTACTTTAAAAAGAGATTTGTCAAGACTTTTTGCATCCACTCTAAAGAAAACAGTTTTTTATAGTTTTATAGGTTAGAGTTTTATGTTAGATGTTAGATAATAGGAATTTCTCAGTCCAAGGGGAGTAATTTCAAACAATTATGCTTGTGGCAGTAATTTTTCAGGCGTCTTATGTTACATTTATATCTGTAATAATAAATTACATCAGAAGACTCGATGTTCAGGATTTGCTAACAAAATGTTATGGAAGCAGAAGTTGTAGTTTGATTTATATTGCTGGTAAAATTAAGACATGAGAGGTTAAGACTGTAGTTGTAATACTGACACTTAATTTGAATAATTGAGTGAATGAGTGATCATGCATAGCAGACGCACCGTTTAGCTGTATAACTCTATAAATCACAAATGTAATCAAAACAAATGGGAGAAGTCATCATCAGTCATAACAACCTGAGCCAACATGAAATGACTTCAAATTTACACAGTTACTAAACTTCATCTAAGCACATAAATAAATCTTTTCTTTATCTTAGACTTTACTTGAAAGGAAGATGAAGAACAGTAACCCAGACTTTACCTGTTGTTGGGAAAGCTTTTTGTTTTAAACATTTCACACACAGGCCTTCTGCCTAAGCCAACTAAAGCACTTCTACTCTAGCTGGCACACAGCATGCTTGTTACCTCAGCCTGAATCTCTGGGTCGGCTCAGGCTGCAGCCAAAGGAGTAAAAGCAAAAAAAAAACAATTAAACGGAAATAAAACACATATTATGAGAAAAAAGCACAAAACAATAAAAGGCATTTTTAACAAACTTGGCAAATTATAAAACAAATTCAAAATTTGAACATACATGTTTTCCATTCATCCTGTTTGACGAGAAATAAATGAATACTCATTAATCAAAACGTATTTAAACTTTTGCAGGCATTTCACAAATACTAAAATAAAGCTTTTACTCATAAAAATTGGTCAAACATATGAGGTTACTATTTTATTATCCCACTGCTTGTTTTATTACAGTAGTGTCCTAAGGCTGTTTGCATCATAGAGACTCTCAGTTTTTAAAGTGAGCATATATTTTAGTGTTAAACGGCTAATTCTTAAAAACATAATGTAAATAAATCACAATCAGCTTTTGTTTGGGTTGGATAGTTAAGACAGATCTGGAGGAGAGAATCCATCTTACCCACCAAAAAAAGTATATTTTTAGTAGAAAAAGTTAGGTTTAGCTTTTTGTTTCAAAATAATGAAGTTATGGAACAATTGAAATAATTAATTTCAGGTAGTAAATAACTCGAAGCTATGGGATGAGGGCCCATTGTTGGGCTGGGAATGAAAGGTCGACCAAGCAGCCACTTGTAAGCTTGGAATTCATTTGTTGACTAAATGTTTTCTTTAACCAGTACTTAAAAAAACAAACAATTGAACTAGAGATATTAGCCCCATTTACATTACCTTTTTGAAACCGTGCCGAGATCGGTCCGAGCACAGTAACCGAGATAACTGTTGAGTGTAAATGGCATGAAAAACACAACTGAACCGCGCTAAACTGGTACTAGCTCATCAGTAGGGCTTGGCGGGGTTCAGTTCAGGCTCAGTTCTCAGATAACAAAGAGACCACCACAGTCAGCCTCCGTAATCATGAAACTTCAGACATTCATAAAAATACTGGCTTCCCCACTGTGCCGCATGATTTCCCGAGGTGATTCTGCTTAGCAGTGTGATGAGCCTCAACGTCCATCATTGTTTCCTGCATCTGTAACTCCTGATTAGACTATCGTTTGTTGTATCCACTTGCCAAAAGCCGACTCTGTCAAGTAAATTTAGCAAAGGATGCCTTCTTCACCTGACTGTCCTCAAACAACGAAATATCACAATGATAACAAAACATAACTTCCTGAATGTTATGGGCGCCGCAATGTTAGTTAGCTTGTTTACCTCAAGAGAGCAGTAGTACCTTAGTTCGTCACTAGGAGACCAGGAACCGCTAGAGTGTAAATGGTCATAAGGAACTGAGCTCGGCACGGATCGGTTTTCAGAGGGTAGTGCAAATGGGGCTATTATCTGAGTATTTTAACCTACCTTCTAACAATCATTAACTGTAAAATGAAAATTTTAAACCTTTTTTTTTTACTTCATTAATTAAGTACTTTTTAAGGCAAATCAAATGTTTTGGTGAAAGTAATCTCCAGGCGAATAGAACTGGAGTGACAGACAAACGTTACTTAACAAAAATCTTTACGATAAAATCAGACAGGCTACTGGATGTGGAGTAAACTTTCAACTGGATTAATGTGATAGTATGACACTTTGTTAGCAATATATGTTAACACAGTATTCTGTGATTTATTTATTTGGAGACGTGGGACACCTATACAAATCAGAGTAACTACATATTATCAGGACTAGAGATTCAAATGAATTCTTTGGTCAATTACAGGCAGACCCTGCTCACCACAGACAGCTTTTAAATCAATGTATAGAGTGCTAGTTTATGAGGTCTCTAAAGTCTAGCTTTATTATTTCTGTCTTGAGGCACAAAGCTAAAGCAGTTGCCAAAACAATCTTCTGTATTTTGAACTAAAAACCCAAAGATGGTGACATGTTTTCCTTCAGAGCTTCTAGCAGTTAAGATCAGGATGCTGGTAATAGCAAGAGAACCAGTTTATGACTAAATCTGCTTCAGTTGAAAAATCATTTGCCAGGCTGTCAGGTAAAGGTAGTTATTGTGCACACATATGCCTGCACAAGGGACGTTCCTCTGCAAGATTATATCAGGATATCAGCAGACTAAACCAAACAAAACAACAACAACAAACAAAATGAATGGATGGATGATTTCCTGCTTGTTATTGCTGGCTATCACCTTCATACAGATCACTGCTCTCACTACAAAAACTCTGCCTGTATCCATCCAGCCTGCTGAAGCTGCATGGAGGCAAAGAACTGGTACAGCTTTCTGTTTTACAACATTTGAAACCATTTAAGTGGAAACCAGCATCAATGTTTGCATTTATCTCAAGCAACCATTATAAGTGATGATTTAAAAAAAAATAAAAGGCAATGAAAGGTTCTAGAGTCTTTTGGTCAAGACCTTTGCTGTATGCGTTTCTAATGACTGTATCACTCATCCTACTGAGCTGAAGTGTGTACACATGTGGAGTAAAGTCTATGTTTATTTACTGTAATTAAACTGATCTAAACAGGAAACATTTACTAACTCTTGTATGTTTACTGGCCTCCTGCTTGTATGAACGTGTTGAATGTGCAAACAGTGCACAGTGGATGATTAAGTGCGTCTTCTCACTACGCTGTGTGTGTGTATTAGGGTAGTTAAATTTGACTGAGCCAAGTTGTTGACGCTGTAAAAAGTGTGTTTGTGTTTTCTGGGCTGACAACTCACCAGGAGGGAAGTAGAGCGGGAGGTTCTGCAGATACAGCTCCTTATCCGTTGGCAAAAACACGCAGAAGATGACTCTGTCCAGCTGTCACACACACACACATAAAGGACGCACACTTTAGCACACATAAAATGACCTTTATAACAAGCATATGCAGTAAATGTGAGCTCATCAGTTGCAGGTGGGAACTGTATGAGTGAGAATGCAGCTAATGCATCAGTCCATTACTCCACCATTATGTCTCCATTATGAAGCAGCCACGACCAGACGTTTATTACCCTGCCTGCTGAGGTCGGAGAGCAGAGGAGGAGCATGAATGTTTGTGTGAGACGGAGACACAAAAAGTTTGGGAACATACCATCAGTTTATTCGTTGTTTTAAGGACTCTGATTTCCCTTTAATATCTGAAAATGGTTCTATCAATAGTTCGGTTTAAAAACTATTTTTAATGTTTTCTTTGAACTTTTTCACCTATTTATTATCCGTTTCTAGATTCTGACATTTTAAACAAAGCTGAAGACGTGAAAAAAAGAGACTCAGTATCCATTATTTGGTCATGAACTTAACGCTAGGTTGGCAGGTAAAGCATTTCGCATTAGATCATTATCATGTATTTGATAGATTTTTGTATATTGTTATCATGACTGTCTAAAAAAATAAATTTCCAAGCTGGTTATTTGCTCAATTTTTGTTTAATGCAAAATAAAATTCCTAATTTGTTATTACACAGCAGAACCAGCAGAAAGTGTGTCAAAAAGCAGCTACTTTGGAAATCTTGAACACCGAACAAGCTAAAATAACAGAGATGACCATGTTGCCAGAAAAATATTGAAATATGCCTAAAAAAAAAAGAAAAAAAAAAGAAAAAAAGAAAGGAAAACAAAATCCAGAGCGCATTTAATTTTTAGCCCAACACCAATAGAGGTGAATAAATGCTCACCTAGTTACAGTTGACTTTAATATTACTAATATTCAAAGTAATTTTAATAATTTGCTCACTTTGAAGTGATATGAGACTTGCACTGGTTAGTATGTTGGCACTTTAAACATTTCTTTATAGTTCATGCAACTGAATTTTTGTATCTTTGTATACACTCAGTTTTGTTTGTTTGGACTGAGAAACAGGACAGTTTAGGGTTTTCCTGACTGCAGGTCTGATGCTGTAGCTAGAGACAGACCGACACATCGACCAATGGATATTCTTGGTTGACATAATTTCTTTGTATCAGTATTGGCCAATAGATGCATGTTTGGGCTGATTCTTAAGTACATTAAGCAGTTATGCCTTTAGATCATATGGGGTGCATGTACTGGCACTCCCCTCTAGTTGCAGTCAATTGTTAATATCCAGTTTGATTTGTTAATAAAGGTTTCCTTTTTTTAAACTGAACAACAAGCAATAATCTTTTTGCCTTAAAACAGAGCGTCAGAGTCAGCAGCAGCTCTAACTCCCCATACCAACAAAACTCCTCCTCTTTGTCCCAGTTAAGGTGAGCAAAACTGATCACAATGAGAGGCCAGTTTGCATAATTTTATTGATTTTTCTGTCTATTTTGCTCTTTGTTACATTATAACAAATAAAAGAAAATGTTGATTACTAACACAAATTCAAACACACTTTTTCCATAGATAAAGATCATTATAAAATGATCAAACAAAGGAGCCTACTGTCTTGGCAGCTGGGGGAAATTAGGTAGATTGGCTCAGCCTGTATGGAAATACATGTTATATTAAAACATTATAGTTTGATGTTTTATTTTTTCTTGATTAATGAATTTATAATCAAGAAGGCTTGAGGCTGGGTTCTTGGCAAGTCATGGTTTGTAAAGACTATTTTATATTTGAGAGATTCTTTTTTCTTATTTTAGATCATTTTAAAATGTTTAAATGTATTTTAATTCAAAACTTATAAAACATTATACATATCAGTTTTATCATAGTGTGCAATTTACCTTTTTTTTTTAAACTATCATTATTACTAATGTTAAGAAAATAGTGTATTCTTAATTTTATTCAATGAAATAAATACATAAAGACTATAAAATTACTTTGGCCTTTAGCATATTTGTAATGTTTTTAATCCGGCATAAAAAAGTGATTTGCAAAGTAAAAAACAAACATACCATTACTGAAACTCCTAGCTTAGAGGATAAAAATTCTACACAGAAAGAAATTGTAAACACTTTTACAAAATATAAAACCATAAAAAAAAAAAAAAAAAAAAAAAAACCTTGATGGAAAAATCTGAAGAAAAACTGCAAAAAACAAAAACAAAACAAAAAACTATATATATGTAGTTTTTGTGTGTGCATGGAGATGTTGTGAGGGGAGCAGTTGCAGGGCTACAAATTCCATATTTTGTCATGGGGCCCAGACCTCCTAGCACTGCCCCTGTCTATATCGTTTGATAGATTCAACAGTGAAGGGAATCCCTCTAGTTTGTAACAAGGTTTGGATTTTATTTCCCCCTAATAACAAAAACCTCCATTAAAACTGCATGATTTTCTACTGTCTTTAACCAATATAAAAATTTGCACGCTATGTATATTATTTGTATTGTGATAAATTTGATAAATATGAACTCATGAAGAGGAAACCACATTTTTAAAAAACTCTGTATAGATTCAGGCCAATGATTAAAGCTACTTTAGCTCCTTTGAAAACGAGCGTCCAGTGCCTGAAGCTGTGCTCACTCTGATCACCATTATTACCATCCTAATTTCTCTACAGCAGTTATAATTTCTCGTTTCCCGATTCACATCCCAATTCATAGCAGGTCTGTTTCCATCCGTTTCCTCCTGGTGTGGGAGTTTTTAAGTCCTGCTGCTTGCAGAGTTGGATCTTCCTCAGCAGCTGGTTTGCCCGCAGCCTTTGGTTTTCAGTTCAGGCTTGCTACACAATTACCATCCCTCACCGTCATTTGCATAGAGTGTAAGGGAAGGTATGGAAATGTGTGGTAGCTACATTCCCCGCAGCTAAGGTTTGAAAATCTAACCTGCACATTAAGGTGCTTCTGTTCACAGCAGCAAACCGTAAAAAAGTGGGGGGAACTAATATTGATAATACAACAGCTGAGAGCCTGGAGATGCTCCTGCTAACAACAACATCAAGTTAATTTAATGACTCCCTCATGACTGCCCAACTTTAATGGAAACACAGCGTACAACTTGTGAATACTATCTTCTCAAACTGAAAACATCTACATTCAATTTGCATTCAGCAGATCCTTTTACCCAGAGCAGATACAAATAAGGAATGGAGAATTTAGTATTAGCGATTGTGAGAAAGTCTGCTAGAAGAGAGGAGCACTAAGACTGCATTTACACTGCTAACAAACTGCTTGGAAACAGAAAAGCATGAAACACTCTTAATTTTTTTTTCTCCTGCCACTTTTTCTTAAACTCAAATGCACTGATCTTGCATCATATCCTCTCATCCTGCAGGCAAACCACTTCACGGTCAGGATCAACCATGCCGAGACCAGCAGTGTGCATGGATCCAAATGCACGGTGTATTAGCAGAAACACATACAGCAGCAAATTAATGAATTCAGGATCAAGAACAGGATGCCATTAAAGTTTATCTACAAGTAAAAATACTTTCTGCAACATATTGTTTGTCTGATTTAAAGTACATTAAAAGTAGGTATTATAGTAGTAGGTATATTTCATTTTGTTCAGATTCCTGTTTCTCCAAATATTTTTCATTAATCTCATTTAATATTATAATGTTAAAGTTGGTTTCCATTACCTGTCATTGGAAAATGATCATCAACACAAATACAATTTTGAAAACAGTCTGTTTAAATGATTTAATCTGTTTTAGAAACAAGCTATAAATATACAAACCTTTTGATATTGTTCCAATATTCTGCATATTACTGTATATACACACTCTATGAGGTGGCAGATGAGTTTTCCTGTTTTCTAGGCAGCTCTGCTGTTAAAGGAAGACTGGTATATGATAACAACAACAAATAAAAATACTCCATTGCCATGTAGTTCTGGTTTTGAATCTCTTTTGTTTTTTTCTTTCAGTTTTTTTTTTTTTTTAGATTTGATTTCAGACCAATAATTGTCTAACATCAAATAATTTCCTTCAACTCCATAGAGACTAAATTTTTAACCAGATATAAATATAACTTGAAGATTTATTCCTTACTCATATATTTTTTTATCTTCATCATTGTTTTAAATACATTATATACGTTTTTACTGAAAAATATCTTTAAAATACCCTTTTTATTCTACCCTTTAAGACTTAAACATTGTTTGATGAACCGACTGACACCTAAGTAGTTCAGCGCCAATGCATCCATAAGCCTATAGTCTATTATCCTGCATTCACTTGGAGTCAGAAATGTCTGCACTGTTCGGCAGATGCGATATCAAGCGTTTCTATGTTAAAAAGAAATCAAAGCATAATATTAATGATATAGTGGAGGATGTCCTTTTTCAGGGTTGATCATGGTAGCAACATGCTAGGTGGGTGCCTGTTTTATGGAAGAGTGAAGCTGGTCTGAGTTGATTGATGGAATGTCATATGACTTGTTGCTATATATATATATATATATTTATCATATTCAGTGGAAAGAATTCAACTTAAAGGTATAGTGGAGGATGTTCTATTTCCGGGTAGATCATCAAAATAAGTGGTCCTCCTAATTGTCAATCATTCTGGTGATATGCTCATCCTCATTTTGACTTACAGGTGGTGAGCCTGACAGTGGAAAAATTGAAAATCTTATGTAAAGTAAGCCCGTCTGAGCGATGCAAACAGCAACTTTTAAAAAGAGCGTGCACGAGGAATAATAGGCTTGTGCACGCTAACAAACGTTTAACAACTGTTCCCTCTCGGGAGCGGGTACAGTGTTGTGCATGTATTTTAAACTTTTTTTAAAAGTAGTTTGGGGGGGAGGGGTCTTTTCAAAAATTCACATAAATTCTCCACTTTACCTTTAAAGATGGATTTTGTGGATAATAAGATGTCCACATCTGATGTGGACATCTGATGGCCATTCCAGGTAAGGTGAAAAGTACGAGCACGGGCTATGAGAAGGAGCAAAAAAAAAGGGCTGCAGTTCTGTGTTTTGGCCACAGGTGGCAGTGTCATTAGAAAACTCAGTAACGCCTGTTCAAAGCAGAATTAGCTTAAAATCCTAGCCTTTGTTTTTGATCGGGTATCGCTTTCTCAGAGTGTAAACAGAGCCTTGTGCCTGAAACTTTGAATGGTGACCTTAATCACCATGACAATGTGATTCTGATGCTTTGTTCTAAAAAGACTCATGGCTTAATGTTAAATAAAACTTTGTTAGAAAAAAAAAAATCTTCTTTAAAAGTCATCAGATATGTCTCCTAGACTTTGTTCTACAATGTTATTAGATGCTCATGCATGCATGCAGCTTTGTTTTTTTTTTTTTTCTCCAGCCAGATATGACTAACACTTGATGAACAGTCTACTTTGAAAAATTAAGTCTACATACAAACTTGGGGAATAAAGCTTGGGGAGGGAAAGGTTATTTGCCATGCAGATATAAAGCAGCAGCAAAGTGAACACTTCAGCTGAACCTTTCCAACCGTCTGAAACTAATTTGGATCATAAAATTACTACAAGAATCCTGAGTCTTACTCTCTTAAAATTATTTTTGCTGCTTCTTCGTAAACACATTTATTGCATTTGATATGGAGTGCTGGCCCATTGCCTCGTGTCTTGAGTCCATTTTGTGTCTAACTGTGTCTGTAATTTTTAAATTCATTTACCACACAGCTGTGCAAGCCAAACCAGGCACAACGTACAACATCTTAAAATATCGTTTTAGAACCACTGTTTCTCCCTTGTGTGCAGTCTAAGCTTCACATGGATGCAAATAAACTAAAATTTTTAATTATTTACAATTTGGTTTAAAAACACACAGTGGAGCAACTTGTGGGAATGTAAAGTAAATAAAAGGCTCTGTTGGGTTTCTGATTTTACATTCAAACATATAAGGCTTTTTGAGACTCTGTTGCAAGATGTACATGTTTGATTTGTTTTGCTCAGGCAAGCTGATGGCATCGGTTGTCTGGTATTGCCATAGAGCCTCTGGAGATGTGAGGGCTAATAATAACCCTTGCCACCACCCTCTGTGAGGCGGAGAGGTTTCAGACCTGAAAGGTGGAGGATATTCAGAGCATGCAAAACGACTGATTGGAAAGTTTCCGATTGTCTCCAAGCTCCAATCACACCCACACCCCTTCCCCTTTAGTCATCTATTCCATCATTCTGTCTTTTCTTCTCTTGTTCTGTCCCCAGGGGAAACATTTGTGTGCGTTTGTGTGTGTTTTTTCTGTGTAAGGCGGGTTTGGTCCCGCAAGGAGCCAATTAAAGCGCAGACTTGGCCATGAGCATGAGAGCCACAACTTAGCAGTGTGTGTGAAACTGAAAGGTTGTGTGCGTGTGTGTTTGTGTGTCGCTGTATGTTTTTCGATGTACCTTCTCGCACTTACAAGAAAACAAAAAACAACAGCTGTGAAAGAAATAATACCTGGAGGAAATGGCAGGGAAAGATTGCCAATCATATGCAGGCACAAACACACACAGGTATATACCCACCTTGTCATGATGTGCATCAAGAAACTCCCTAACGGCTGCTAGCGCCTCGTGCACTGCCTGTTCAGGTGGATACCCTGCCCAAACACACACAGTATCACAAATGTGCAAAAACAGGTGGAGAAACAGAAATGTGTCATGGCACTTGGCTGTTTTCTTTTTTGCAGACAAATAAAAAAAAAAAGTGTTTTTGCACCCCTAGCTCCTGTGTTCTGTCTCCTCTGTCTGCCCCGTCTCACCCAGGAAGAAGCAGACACAACACACTTGTTGGTTAAGAGGAGACAGACAGCAGGACTGTATTACTGCTGCCATGTATATATTCAGCAGCTGAGACCTTTCACCAGAGATAAATCTGCAAAAACTCATCTTCTGGCTAGACGAACAATTTCAATATGGCTAAAAACATTCAGTTTTACTCTGGGCCATCTGTGAGAACCAAATGAAACAAGACTTTAATATAGTGAGGTATGTTATATAGGTCGGATACAGTGCTTTGCAAAGCTATCCATACTACTTGTCCTTTCCATACAGAGCGTGTTCCAGACATTTCTGAACTATTGCCACATATTTCTATTTATTTTATGACAACGTAAAGTGATAATCCAACACAACAAGTTAAGGACTGCATAATACAGCAAAAATGCTGTTTTAAACATCTATTTTTAAAAACAAGATCTGTAGATCTGAAACAATAGCTGTAGCTAACAGCTTTACATACAGACTTCAAGGGCTGAATCTTTAAAATGTAAATAAAAACATGACTAAACTTGATAGCGCGTACAAAGCTGATCTATTAAATAAGCGGAGCAACAAGGACAACGTTTTAGTCCTTGTCTTCATATGCTAATGATATCAATGCACAAATTAAAATAGGAGATGCTAATGTCATTCTTTACCACCTGTGTAGTGATTGTCCTGCAACAGATTGCAAGCATAGATTGTATCTCTATTAGTAGCTTGTTTTAAAGTCTTGCAAAAAAACACAAACATTGAAGAAGCTGTTTCTCTTTCTGGTCTTGGAGTTTTGTTTTGTAAACATTAAAGAACAAATATCTTAAGTGCAAGTTTATTTGTAAAGGACAATTCAGTATAAAGACCATTCAAAGTCCTTTACATGAGTTAAACAATAAAAGAAAGACCAAGAGCACAACAAATAAAGCTTAGGAAAAGCAGATTTAGGTTAGAAATATATCTGAAACTGTTCAACATGTCTTGGACAATGTTTAGTCTAAAATAGATAGGATAGAGGAAACCGATCTTGTTAAGAGTAGCGATGTTGAGAGAAGCAACCAAGCCTTGGTTACTCTGGAGGAGCTGCATGTGTTGACATGAAAACTAGTAACTGCATTCAAATTCTCCTTCCGCTAAAGCTACCACAAACACATCTCTTTATCTTATGTTGGTTCATCGTCATCTTTTCCTAATCACTGAGATACTCAAAGCCCCGCTCTGCCCTTTAAAAAATATTTTAAAAGCAGTAAGGCACAAACATTTGCCGGATGAGGCATTTATGGTTGACTCATGGGGTGGAAAATCATAAACTGAGAACTGAACCTGCACCAGTTCTGGCAAAGCAAAGCACTGGAACCACTTTAGTGGAAAGAACCCAACAGCAAAGGTCCTGAAGGGGGAGCTCAAACCCCTGAAGCCCCTCCATTTCTGCACTAATGCCCTTCAAGCAGCATGAAGACCAAAACTCTAGTGAGAAAAGAGTGGAAGTGGTGAGGTGAAACAGGTGCAGCAGAGAGGAAGAGATAAATTAAAAACCAAATTAATCAGGAACTGTTGGTATTCCAGCAGAGAGGTGTCAACCAGAGCTCATAGCTCCAGGCTGTGTTTAAGCACCATCACATAACTGTCTTTTCTGCCCGCGTGAAAGAGATTACAGTCACTCTGACACAATCTCCAAACTAATCTATTATAATCTGCCTGTCATAATCCCAAGGCATTAATCTGTAAACCACCTCAGGGTTAGAAGAGAGGAGAGGCTCTAGTTTAACGGAAGGATACAAGAAACAAGACAGTAATGAAACACTTTCAGAGATGGACAGAGAGGCATCACTGAGGTCTGAGGAGGAGACACAGATACTGACCGTAGATTCCAGTGGAGATGCACGGGAAAGCCTGCGGAGCAGAGAGGGTGGAGGAGACGGTCAGACCTGCTGCTCAACATGGAACAGCAGACTATCACCTCTCAGTACCACATAGAGGCCTTTTAACACAGTTTGTAGCAAAAACTCCCTGAATTTTCCAGAATCACTTTCTAAATAATAATTTTTATACAAATTATTTTATTACCAAGATTTTATAATCAACAATAAATCACAACATAATATTGGAAGAGTTATAAATGGCTGCTTTACAGTTATCTGAAGAACCTTAAGACCTCAGTCCAGGTAAATAAAACTCTTTAAGAGCAGCGTATGTTACGTGAGCTTTTGAAATGAATCGAATGATAATTCTGTCCACTATGGGAAATTTGTTGTCATGTTTGGAGTGTTGCAATTTTATGTATATTTCTCAGGTTTTAAAATAAAAAAAAGCAACATTACATAACATGTGTTCAGATGTTTTCCTCTACTGGGTGTTATTTTTGTGAAAAATATATTTGAAAAAAGGACAGTTTCCAACGTAACGATAAGAAAAAAGATATAAAACAGGAATACTGGTAGGTTTGGTACTAAGTGGTAGATATTAAACACAATTATACAGTAAAATAAAAAACTGGAAAGCTGGTAAGACTTCTATTTGTTTTTGTGTTGTTTAAAGAGCATAACATACTGTTGATTTTAATAATGTCCAAAGAGGCAAGAGAGTGCAGACACCTAAGCAGGAATTTTTGTTTTTTTTAGAAAATAGATATTTTGTCTACCAGCAAAGTAACTGGAAACTCAGTTTAGTATTTTTCTGTACTCATTTAGACTTGGCAAATCATTAAAGTCGTAGGGAAACGGCTGTTTCAACCGTTGCATTTCCGAAATTCTCCAGAATGGTCCACGACTTTACACGACTGAATAAAGAGAATGTGATTGGTTGATTATTAAGGGTGAGGGATTGTTGTGGCAGAAGGTTCACAAGCATGCTTGGTTGTGGCCGGTTTCTCTGAAGCATCTTGCTAACCAGTTAGCAACTTAGTGCTAGTAGGTTCCACATGGGAAATTGCATTGGGACCAAGCAGCACTAAATTGGTGATTTAGAAACGACACTGTCAAGGAACACTATGGACAGCGGAAACATGCAGGAGAGCTTTGTGTCGGAGGTCGTGGATGAGTCTCCTCCTCAGACATTTTTTATTTAGAGGAGGAAAGCAGGGATGAAGATGTTGTGGAAAAGGACGCCAGGGCGGCAGAAGCTTGGTTTGGTGTAGAAAGCTTACAGCCGTACATTTTTGAGCCCTTGCCTCTCAATGCTGCCTGTTCTGTTAGCTCTACGCCTGCTGAAGACACAGACGTCCATCCCTGTGAACACTGGGACGCAACTCAATGGGAAAGGAAAGGATTCTGATTTCAACCATTGCGTATAATAGCTGCGACATATGAATCAAGATGCTATGACCGAAAACATTTGATTGACAGATGACCATTGATATATGATTGGCCGAATTTAGGTGTTCAGGCTGACGTAGAACTAACTGGCCTGTATAACATAACGGGAAATTTTTTTTCTAAATTTTTGGACAATACTGTATAGTCTGATAAAGAGTACATTTATATACATGTTTAAGCCAGAATGATTTTACATTTAAATATGACTTCCCTACGACTTTAAAATCTATTGTTTATTTTTCCAGATGCTTTCTGCTTCTTCCCCTCCCCATGCAAACCTACCAATGTAGACCAAATCTTATCGTACTCTTCATGCAAGAATTCATCCCCTCACTATTCTGGGCAAATGCTCAGCTTAACAATGTCAAACAGTGTTGCTGTTTGTGGATTTCTGCATGGTCACTGTTAGAGATGATTTTATTTTGTTGACTTAAACTGTTCAATTAGAGTTTCTGACCTGCATCCTTGGCAAGCTTAAAGCTTTTTCAGCTTTCTGTTTATGAGCTGAGGTCATGGTAATCACAATGTGTCTTTGGGGTCATGTTATCATTGTATACTCTGACTCAGCTTCAGGAAGTCTGCTGTGCTACTTCCAGAGATGTCTGTGAATAATTATTTTCAAATATAATCAGCTTAAAGAAACAACTTGGACTCTCAATACTGGAGTCTTTATCAGCAGGCAGTACTTAACCTCAACCAAGCAAAAGATCAATACAAATTTAGTCCAAGAGTAAGAGAGATTCAAAGTATTTCACATAAAACACACCAAAACAAATAGAAAGAGAAATTGATATAGGTTTGAAGGTTTGAGGAAACATGTTTAACAGTAATGAGGGGACATTTGAAGTGCGCATTATGTTTCTTCAAGATAAGGGTTATAGAATCAAATAAAAAAGTTAACAATAGGTTAAAAGCAAAGGAGAAATAAAAATAATTAATGCAAAACAAAAATAAAAATGAGTTAAAATACTATAAAACAAAATAGAAGCGAAGTAAAACCTACATTTAATTTAAACATCTGGAATTAAATGTATTTGTTCTTTAATTGCAGCAAAATGCATATTTAATAAAAAATATTTTAAACAATAAGCAAAGAATACATCTGCAATTGATTGAATATCAATTGCAAATTAATTGTTAATAATAACAATGAATTTGGATACAATACTTATTTGGCAGGGTATCATTAATAAAGACGGGGGTTGTTTACTATTGAATCAATAATATATCACACAACCTTAAAATATTGTAATATTTTATAACTTGTATATTTTATAAATGTAATATTTCGTAACAGTAATAATTGGGTTATTTGTTTAGCATTTATTTTCACACCTATTTATTTTTGGGATTCTATTCCAAAAGCCTGTTCCATGTTGAGATTTAAAACAGTGAGTTTTTCATGTAAATAAAAATGTTTTTATACCTTTTATTGATGTTTGCTTTTGTACTGTATGTGAAAAAAGCCTCTTGTTTGTTAAGGTATGAAAGTTACATAATCAAAAACCTTAATTAAATATTCCATCTTTAGCCAGAGCGGTGCTTCACTTTAGGACCAGAGATGAGAATTATGAATCACAATCAGTTGAAAACACCAAAATCTTTGGGTTGCAGGTCATCGTTTAAGACTTTTGTGATCTAAAAGTCAGATATACGTTTTCTAACCCTTTGCACAGATGACTGATTACACAGAGACCTCAATGGACAGGCAGGCAGGAGAGAGAAAACTTGAAACAATCTTGGATATTTTGAATCATTTTAACACAAAAAACTCTAAAAGCTTGTTTGTTGTAAATGTTCATATCTGTCAAAAACAAGATGATGGCGTGAATGCAAAGGCAGCTTTAACACATTCCTCACTGTGATCCTGAGGATAAACTGATTTTGGACAAGTTAATAAAAAACACACACGATGGACCCTTGATGCTGCTGACAAGAGTGGTATTATGTGATAATAACACAGATATGATGAATGCAACCAGGCTTCCCTGTTTGCAGAAAAAGTCTGATAAAACTGTAGGCAGACAAACACTGCAGTGTCTGAGTTTTATAGGAAATGGCAAGAGGGAGGTTTTCCTTCATTATCTGATCTGCTTTCAGAACAAAACAGATACTGGTGAACAGAGTTATTGGCTCTGCCATAATGTTTTTGCTTTGAAAGAACCAGCAGGAGTCAGACAGCTGCAGCCTTTTTTTTCTTTTTTAATATTCACTGATTATTGCACAGGTACAAACGTGTGTGTGACAAGTAATTGTTACCTTATGGGGACAGCTAACGACCAATTTCCCAGAAATATGCCGCTTTATTGGGTCTTACAGTGAAATGGTCCCTATGAGGAAAAGTTCTCTTCTTAGGTTACAGGTTAGGCTCAGGACTAAGGCGTGCATTTAATTCAGGTCAGGGTCAGGGTTAGGGAGGGGGTCTCCATCAGGCTATAGTAATGAATACAAAATGAATGGAAGCCAATGGGAAGTCCCTGTCAGAATGGCAGGACATAACATGTGTGTGTGTGTGTGTGTGTATCCTAGTGTGTGTGTGGAGAGTAAATGCATCTAAATGGAAGGCTGCTCTGAAATTGACTTCCATGGAAATACAAGACTTAGACCACAGATCGCTGATGTGATTCATCTCATTTCATCTCATAACTGTCTATTGGGCTGTTTTGACTTTATTTTAAAGGGATTTACAGTCCTCCCTATGTGGGCATTAAAGTCATTTCCTCATTCAGAGGGGCTGCACAAGGATTCCTTAATGAAAGCTAGATATCCTCATTTCACCAGAAGTAATATGAGGATGAAATGGTCAAAATTAGACATGAATTTACAAATCATCTCTGTCTATTAGAGCGTCGCTAAAGTATTACAGCATATATGACTTGATTTAATCCTCTGTCTAAAGGGAGAGCAGTATAATAATAACTTTTTTTTTCTGGAGAAGAGCAAGAAAAGTGTTTTAATTGTGCTAAAATTGAGAAAATTGTATTTCATTATTTTGCAGTTACTGAGCAGCTAAGTTGAACTAGAGGTAAAAAAAAATTGCATTTCTCATTCTTTTAGAGCATTTCTATTTTAACCAAAAACATCTACCTAATTATATTTATAGTAAATCAATCAATAAATAGTAGAAAGATCATATGTACTAGATTGGAAAAGAGTTTTGGGCTCTTATGCTTTTTTAAGTTGACCCCTGACTAACGGAGCAGCTGACAGGACATAAACACAAATCAGTGCATGCATAATGGGTCACTGTGTCAGTAATGGAGAAAACTACAAAGATTATAAGCAAACTTAAAGGGGATCAACGGCATCAGTGTGTTAATTTGTATAATTCATGTGCAGGACTGTAACTTTGAGTCAATAAGACCCGTGTTTAGCAGAATCCTGTAAACCCACAGCTTGTGTCGTGAGTCAAGCTGCCAGAAAACTTCTCATTTGGCAGCTTCTCAACCTGCTGTCAGATGAGGCAGCGCAGGCAGATGCCAGGACACCCGCGCCGCATCCCCCCCGTCCAGCTCAGATCATTTAACCTGACTGCTGAGCTTTAACACACAGTGATGGCAGATGTGACTCACAACTCCCTCAAGGCCAAACAGAAACATATGACTTGCCATTTTGTGAATGTGCAGAGATGACTGTTGCATCTGTCTGTAGATTTGTCAGAAATGAAACAATGCAGCAGCTGTCGATAAAATGATGTGTTAGGCTTCATTCTTAACTTCTACATTTCTGCCTGGGCTTTGGTTTTATTTCTATGTTTCTAATGTGTTTTTCTCCATCTCTGTTCTCTGTGAAACATCCAATCTGGCATGTTCGGTGTAACCTAACAATGCAACCCTCCCACTCCATTTTCCCTTTTCTTTATGTGCCACAGCATGAACAGAGTGTTCTTTGAAAAGGCTACATGTGATCAATCTTTTTCTCTTTACCTCTGGCGTTCCTGCAGCTACAGAAACTCACCTTCCATCCAGCTCAATTATTTGTTTTTACCTTTCTTTTTCTTTCTGCTTTAGAGATCTCTGTGCTTTGTGTATTTTAACTTTGTCACCATGTCTGTCTCTCCCTCACTGGTTGCTTCCTTTTAGATTGATCTCAGCCAGATGTTCTCACCACAGATCGAGCCGTGTTTTCGGTGGCTGCCAGCAGGCTGTTCCTGTAGCATGACCTTAGAGCTCTTCTCTCCTCCTCACCAACTCCTCCCTGAGCGATCGGCCCCACGGTGTGGATCACATCTGGAGACACAGATATAAAGTGTTAGAAGTTACCACTGTGCTGTTAATCATCCATTCAGATGAATTAGTTATTTCCTTTAAATGCAGTCAAAATCCAAAACTAAATGTTTCTGGGGAAACTAATTTTCTCTCCAGTTTCTAATATTTTCAGGAAAACCTTATTTTCCCATTTTTATTGTAACCCCCACATGTGATTCATTCCACAGGACTTGAACCATTTTTAATTTAAAAAATGAAACGACATTTTAAAGTAGAGAAGATTTTTTTTTTACAAGCATATTTATTTTAAGTTAGTTGAAATATAATTTAACACTAAAGAAAAAAAGATTTTGGTCAGGCATTGTTAGCGCTAGCGCAGTTGTACACAACGCTGTGAAGTATAGTTTTACCATTTCATAAGTATTTGGTCGGATTTAAATGTTTTAGATTGTAAAAGAAATGCTATATTTATTGGGATTGGACAGTAATTGAATAATATTATGTATCACTTTATAATTTCATTCAAAAATGTTGATATGAAATTTTTGATAACTTCATATACATTACAGTTAAGGATGTCCAGATCCAATGTTGATATTGGAAATCAGTCCGGTATCAGCAAAAAATGAATATTATTATAATACTATTACATTAAAAACTCTTAGAAAAAATTAGCTTCTATCTGCTTTCTTTGGTGAATAAGAAATGTGTCACTTATTTTCATACCTGTAGTTGTTATTTTTTCTTTAATATTATTTGATCAAGCCTTTTGTATCATTCCACAATATTAAATAGTATGCATGATTAATACTGACATCATATCAGATCAATATTAGTATCAGTTGATACCCAAAGATGAAATATCAGTATTGTATTGGAAATATTGTATTGGGACATCCTTAATTAGAGTCCATCATTACAGAATTTATCACTGACTGATTTTACGGGTTTTACTTAGCTTTATGAGTTTTGTTTTTTAAGGCAAATATTTGTAAAATGTGACATTACAGAAATTTTATACACTTTATAAAATAGTCGTTAGGAGTTTGTATAAGCATGTATTGAGGTCATTCTTGGCAGTCCTTCTGAGGCCTTTATTTTGTTTATTTCAATTATATTTTATCAACCCAAAGTAGGAAATATATCATGACATGAGCTTTGGCCACAAAGTTCAGCCCTTATTATAGGAGAAAGAAAATCTTAGTAAATGCTTTATATCATCGACTAACTTATTTAACCCTGTTAAGTTATGTTTATTAGACAGCGCTGCGCAGTGTATGAAATACAACAACCACAGAGGGTTTCATGTATGTAATATTAGGTAGAATATTACATTTAAGGTGTCAAAGCATAATGAGAATATATATCAGCTGTTGGACGGACTGTTACTGCTCTTAATGCTCTCAGCTAAACTGAGATATTAAGAGTTAGAGGCATAAATGAGAACTTTAACTGTAAAACAGCAAAAACAAGGGGTGGCAGGAAAACCAGGAAAAGACATAACAATTCTAGCAATAATATTGCAACAAAATATTTTCTAGATATCCTGAAGCCTTACATGTACAACTAGAAATGACCTTAATAGCACCTGATTGTTGTGGATTTGGCTTTCATTTAAGGCCTTTGAGCTCATTTGGATAAATTGCAAAAGGAACAAGAAAAACAACAAGTGCCAAAGGAAAATCCCCAACAGGAAAAGGTTAAAATTATGAGCCACATCCCACTAATTCCACAATCCCGGCATTGTGATCCGAATGCTTACACAGCCTGTGATCTTTCTGTAGGTCATGTATGATGGGAAAGGTCAAAGTGTTCAGCCACAGCTGTGAATCCAGGTTATGTTTAAAGTGAATGTATGATACTAATAGGTCTACTGATATCTATCAGTTGGGAAAGGGTTCCAAAGAGATGGAACTGTGATTAACTTGTTCTCACATTACCTAAAAAAATGTCTCAAAGAGCAGATTGGTAATTCATCCAGGAGGTCACAGAATGAAAATGAACATCATCTAAATCTCTGCAGTCCTAACCTGCCTTTGTAAAGGATCACATTTATGATTCAGCCATGAGAAAAAAGACTGGGCAGAATGCCATCAGAGGTCTAAAGGGAAAACCAGTGTTGACCAAGAAGAACACAAAAGCCTGTTTTATATTTACTGAAATAAAACCTAGAATCCCCAAGACATTGGTGGATGGAGATGTCAAACAGGGAACTTTGTACTGCTTAAATCAATTAAAGTGTTTTTTTTTAACCTGTTTAGTACTGTTAAGTTTTCTGCCTCAGAAAACATTACAGCTTTAGATACAGCTGTAAAGCTGACAAACTGCACAACAGAACCAACAACACCTAGAAGGAACAACGATGCTATGTTTACATCGAACGTGATTTGAGCAGCAAAAAAAGAGCCTGCTGCTTCATTTTTGATGCTTGTACATATTAAGGTCAGACGCGCCTCAAGAGCATCTTTGCTGCTCCAGAAGCACGTCCAGTAAAGTGTGTACAGACATATCTGATGCTTCTGCTGCCCCTGTATTCAATGTCAGAGTGGCTTTGCTATATTTGCTGTGCTGAGTCGGTAACAAGTAGTTTTAATATGTTTTTAAGTGAGAAAGTCCACCCAAAAAATATAATCTGTGCAGTCAGTTCATCCAGATTGCGATCCTGACTTCAGATATTATTTCACTGTCAGAACCGTGCATAGCAACATATTGAACTGCATCAGCAGCGCTGTGTCTGTCTCCATGCCAACTCCCAGATAAGCTTCTCTGATTGGTTGATATGGTACATTGCATGTTGGTCGATGCAGCACAAGTTACATTTTTCCAACTCCAGCAGCTTCAGGACCTCGTGAGGCACTGCTTCAGCAGCTCCGATGCATCCAGGTGCACTGCTCCTGCTGCTCGAGACGCGCTGCAGGAACTTTTGATTCCCCTTGATGGGCGTCAACCATAGACTTCGCATGTAAACTGTCTGCTTCTGCTGCTCAAATCGCATTCAGTGTGAACGTAGCAATAGGGTAACGGGTTTTGTTTTGTGACTAAGGTGCTAAGAGTAATCTGCTTTAAGGAAAACACTTTCTAAAGTTAAAATCTTTAGGAATTTTTTTTTGATGTAAAACACGTTAGATCTGATAAATCAAACTATGTATTTTATTTCTTTCAGCCTTCAATAACTTTCAAATATAGCATAATACATGTTTGGGGTTTTGTTAACCTGTAGGTGTTACTCCACCAGTTGATGTTGGGTAATATCCTCATCAACCGTCCTTTGGGTCTCTCAGACGATTTTTCCTAATTTGATGACCTGATTAAGTATAGAGTAAATGAATTGAAATTAAATTTATTTGTGGGTGGGAGTATAACAGAATCTCATAACAACATGCAGAGAAAGAAAGCCATAGAAATGTGGTTTAACACGTAGACGCAGCCACCACAACACATTGTGATGAGACTCAGCATGATGCTCTCAGTGTGAAACCCACTGCTGTCATAAGACCAAGCTGGACCCACACTCTCAAAACAACAAAAACACAGACAGCACGATAGAAATGTTCACAACCAAGACTATTTCCCACATCAGATTCCGTTTTTTATTGTTTAGGGCAAAATAAATGTATTTGTCCACAGATCATGTCTGACACTTGGAGCCTCAAGAAATATATATATTTTTGCTCACACAAGTGCATTATTTTACCTAAAATTAATCAATCATCTTCCTATTTGGAGATTAAAAAAATTCTGATATCCACCACCCCAGGAGAAATAAGAAGCAGCCCAATCAATCAGGCGAAGGTATATCAACCTGCCTAGTATGAGATAACACAAGAAACAACAGGGCAGATACCTTTTCTAATATACCTGGAGGCTTCAAATAATTTTCTCCTAAACAATGGTTATTGACAATAAGAGAAGAGGATTTGTATGGTGTCAATATTATTTGACTTTGTGATAAACTAATAAAAAGTTTGTATGCAGGGGTTTAACTGGGATGCAATTTTCTCCATCCCAGCCTTATTACATTAATATAGACCCAGGATTGATCACTGACTTCCCCACTCATTTCTGACCATGGAAATTATAAATTAAGACTTTTTTTTATCAGTAAGTATATGATATAACCGTATATCCAACCCAATTGGATAGGAAACCTGTTTAAACATTTTTAACTTTTGAACATAGGATATGTTTGGATTAAACAGATGAAACTCTGTTTGACTCTGTTCCTTTAGCCGTATTTTTGTCGCTTAGCTTTCAATCAAGAAACTTCATTTATTCAGCATTTTCAAAGGATGCTTTATTCAGTTGAGGAGCAGGAAATGTAAAAAAAAAAAAAAGTATAGTTTCTTTTTTTTTTTTTTACAACAAAATTTAAACCTAATGAAGAAAAAAAAACAAACAAATAGCCTTAAGAGGCATGATTCTGTTAATAAAATGCTATAAAAATAAATATGACCATATATGGAGTGATGATGTAACATCTGGAATGGGGCAAAGGGTGAGTTCTCATAAAAAGACATATGACTTTTTAATTGTTGAAAAAAGACTTTATCAAAAGGTTGTGCAATTATAGACCACATTTACCAAGGAGGACAGAGTGGAGCCAGTGTTTTTTTTTTTTTATGGGGGCATAGAGCAAAAGAAAGAAACTAGCAGGACAATATTTCTTTGTTTAATATACTGTATTAATTGAGCCAAAGAGGACATTATTTTCTCCTGATTCGCAGGTTGCAAAATGTAGCAGAGGAACACTGAATCTATAAGGCTTAAGCTAAAACTGCCACACATTTACTTTTAAATTAACTGTTAAGATAAAACAAGAAAGTTAAAAATGTTAATATATATGAGACCAGTCAGTTATGGTTATTGTGCCAGAGCATATCAAAATAAGAAATGCATTTAAACATATGTCTTCAGTACATTAGGGCTAGAATGGGCCAAGACCAGCTGTACAGGGGTAGTGGCTCCTCTTACCCTCCGAATAGAATCAACAATGATAAAATAGATATGATGTATGGCTGTTC